AGCCAAGGCAATCATGAGCAAAAAGAACAAAGCTGGAGGCATCACACTACCTGATTTCAAACTATACTACAAAGTGATAATAATTAAAATAGAATGGTAAAGGCATAAAAATACACACATTGACCAGTGGAACAGAACAGAGAGCCCAGAAAAGATCTCTCTACCTACAGTCAGTTGATCGTCAACAAAGGTGCCAAGAATATGCAATGGGAAATGGTCAGTCTCTTCAATAAATAGTGTTGGGACGACTGGATATACATATGCAAGAGAATGAAATTGGACCCTTATCTCATACCATACACAAAAATCAACTCAAAATTGATTATAAGGATTTAAACATAAGTCTTTCATTTGTATGTTTTTGTTTTGTTTTGTTTTTGAGACAGGGTCTTGCTCTGTTTCCCTGGCTGGAGTACAGTGGCGTCATCATAGCTCACTGCAATCTCAAACTCCTGGGCTCAAGCAATTCTCCTGCCTCAGCCGCCCAAGGAGCTGGGACTACAGGTGTGTGCCCCCATGCCCACCTACTAAATATAAGTCTTGAAGCTGTAAAACTACTAGAGGAAAACATGGGAAAGAGCCCCAGAGCCCATACCCTGACCATGCTCTGCAGGGGTACCCAGGACCCAGAACTCCCTGCCCAGTGGTCTTGGGCCCCTTCTTCACCTGGTCTGTTCTCCTAGGGCAGATGGTGCCACCAATGTGCATCTCAGGGTGGCCAAGGAGCAGTTTGAGGGGAGGTGGGTGGAGCTGAGACATGGGGGGGTGTCCACTTTCAGGCATGAGACCCCTCAAGATCCTGAATGGAACCAAGGAGGTAGGAAGAGAGGGCGGCAGCAGTGGGTCTCCACTTGTCCTCTTGCCCCAGGCCACGCACACGTTAGGGTGGAGTCCGGTTGCAGAGTGTGCGGGTGCTGAGAAGATCCCCCCTCACACACACACCACAGAGGCAGAGAGAGGGGGGTTCCCTACCTGCTTCCCTCCCATTTCAGGGTCCTGGCCCCGTCTCTTATCCAAAATGTCGTACTCCTCTCTTCGTCCTAGATTGAGCTCCTAAAAAAGACAGGAACATGTCAGGCACAGGAAAGGAACCTCAGGAGGATGGGGCCAGCTGGACGGGGGAGTTTGGTTTCGCTCTCCGTCCTGGCTCACAAAAAAGGGGCAGGGACTGAGGAGTGGGTGGTAACGGGTCCATCTGGATACCATCATCTCAGGGAACATCTCAGAGAACACGCGTCGCCATAACGGCGGACGGGATCTCAAAGCGCTTTTCTTACTGTAAGCAGGTCAGTCTAATGGGAGAAGTAACAACAGAGCACATAAAGCAGCTGAGGCTCAGAGAGGGTCATGGATTCGACCACAGTCCCGTTGCACGGGGAGTGTGAAATCGATTCTGAGACATTCCTTCTCCGCCCCTCCAGCCCTGGGCACAGTGCTGGGGGCTGGGGGCTCGTTAGTGGCAGGTGGTGCCCTGAGGGCCCCTAAGCGCCTTCCATCCATCAACCATTAAAGCGCGCGCGTGAGCCTCAGGGCACCCCCACCAGGCAGGTGCAAGCACTTTTCCCGTTTTACCGGGTAGAAAACTGAGGTTGAACAAGTTGCCGCCAGGTCAGAGAGCGGACAGCTTGAGGAGCAGACCCAAGACTGAGACTCCGGCCGGCGTGTTCCCCACGTCCCAGGAGAGGACTGCCCCTGCCTTCCACGTGGGTCTCCGGGAAAGGCTGACTTACGTTATAGAGCTGGTTCTGGCCCTGCTGGTGCTCGGGGACGGCAGCGCTCCTGCTGAACTGGAACACACGAGAGCACAGCGTTACTGCTGCGCGCGTGGGCAGGGCCCGCGGCGACCCTGGGGACAGCCCTGCTCCCGTCCTTGACAACCAACAGCGCATGCTCTGCCTGCGGGGGCCGAGCCCTTGCAAGGGCCAGGGGCGTGGCAGCCCCTTTTCTGAGCTCAACTGTCTTTTCTCCTCCCACCTGTGACAGGAGCATCCACGAGGCCGGCCCGGGGCCAGCTGGAGCGGATTCTCCCGGGCAAGCGCCCTTGCGCGTGCGCAGAGGTGCCGCGCTCGCGGCCGCGCTCCCGAGAGCCAGGGGATTCTCCAGGACTCTTCCTCCAGGGACTCTGAGGACAATCCAGGGTGGACCGCAGCCACAAAAGGTCCTGCCTCCTATCTTGACCCCTGGGGCAGGGTGCTTTCTGTGCACCGCTCGCCCAGCCCTCTGCCATTGCCCGGCGACACCCTCGACACCCGAGCCCGGGGAGTCTCGCGCGCGCTTAGTGTCCTGAGCATCCGCTGGAAGGTTACACATCCTCGCTGTGTTCGGTTCACGCCGCCCGAGCCGAGAGAAACTGCAAGATCTTACAGATTCGGAGTATTGGAAACAACCGTAGCAATCATCTAGGGCAGAGTTTTTAAACTCTAAAAAGTCAGTAAGATTCTGTTTTTTAAATAAAATCTTATGCCAAAGTTTAAAATTCAAAAGAGAAATGGGTTGGGGGCGCTCAAAGGATGACCGAAACTGGAGCCTCCCCGTCCCCCTAAATCCTTCCACAAGCTCTGTCCACACCATGCCCAGCCCCTCCAAGAAATGCAGAGTCTGTAAGGCACCAGGTGAAAACCTGTGCTCTGGGCCAACTCTCCAATTTACAGATGGGAAAACTGAGGTTTCAAGAGAAAGGCTGACATTAGCAGGTGGACAGCAGGACCTGGGAAAAGGCCACAGGTCCCCCACTTGCCTGCTCTTAATTGCCTGCATGTAAGCCCCTTTCTTGCCAGCAGTATCCCTGCCACTGTGATGGCACACATTTGTACATCTCCTCACCGAGACACCCAGCACCAGGCTCTCCCTCTCCCACTGCCTGGCTCAGCCACATATACACCCCCACCGCCTCCTTAGCCTGCCCAATACTTGGCCCGTCCGTGCTTTGCCCATGAATACTAAGCCCCAGGTACCACCCTAGCCTGCAACTTCCAAGACCAAGGCCGGTCTGAACATCCTCCTCCCTGAGCCCAGTGGTACCCACCTTTGCTCTCAGGAACAGAGCAGTGATAATGACGCCATAGATGAAGAGGATTCCGTCCAGCAGGTAGCAGAGTTTGGGATCCAGCAGGCCAAAGCTCTGTGCCTCTGTACCAAGAGACAAAGCTGGTCAGCCAGGCCCAGGGTGACAAGAACATGTCCCCACCACCCCAGGATGGCCAAAGAAATCATGACAAGGAGACTAGATCCAATCCCTATACGTCAGCCTGATCACAACCCTCCTCCCTCCCGCCTCGACTAGCTCCTGGAAAAACCTAGCCTGCCCCAAGGCAGATGTGGTGCTTGATGGGGTCACGGAGCCTGGGGAGATGGGAGGGGAAGTAGGAAGGTGAAACTGTTCCCACGACCCCTGTGCACAGGACTTCCGCCTCCGGGGGCATGGGAGCCCAGCTGTGTGTGAGCCCCTGTGTGAACCAGGAACTCTGGAAGCCTCGGGAAGATGCCCAGGTCTGGACAAATGGCACCACCTGGACTAGGGTGTGTGGCCCCTGAGGGCCTCCCACAGGCAGAGAACAGGGCTCCGCAGGGCTGGCAAGGGTGGGGCTCAGAGACTTAGTGGTACTATCTATTAATTAGGACAGTAAGAATTTGCATTAACTCCCCCAAAACTCTCTGCTTACTCAGCACCAGGCACTATCCCACACCGGACAGTGGCGTCTGGTGCTTGGCTTCCCTCCCCAGCCCCAAAGGGTCTCACGGGCAAGGCACAGAGGCACCTTCAGTGATCCCAGCCCCTCCTGGGCCTGGCATCTCCCTGCCCACCAGTCCTTGCTCCGTGGCCTCAGCCTCCTCTGTCTCCTTTCCCAGACTATTAGCCGCTTGCCTTCGCACACACTGTTCCCTCTTCACATTCCCTCCTTTTCTCTCCCCGCAGCCCTGCCAGCTGTTAAAATCGAATGCGTCCTACAAAACGCAGCTCAGAGTTCCCCTCTCCACCCCAAATTTCCAAGGGGTCCCCTAACCCCTGCGGCCATTTTAACCTTTGTCAAACTGTAGTTAATGCACATTTAGTTGGCACTGGCATTGGCGTAAAATGCGTTGGGGAACCAGGTGCAGCAAATATTCCAGTTAAATAAAAGCATTTTTATTTGAAAGATCACTGCACTGTGAGTGAGGAGATGCAGGTTTTAGTCTTGACTATATTTCCTACTAGGTAGGTGTGCAGCAACTCAATTTGTAAAACGGGGGCGTAGTATCAGTCTTGCTCCTCCCCTGCACGGCCACCAGGAGAGCAGAGGTCCCAGGCCAGCGTGGGTGTCTCCCGAGGCCAGGGCGCCCCCTGGTGGCTTCCTGCGGGCCTATTCCAGGGCAGAGGAGTGGACATTGTACGCTTGAGTGCTGTCATAGCCCGACCAGCTGTGTGACTTGAGCCAAGTTATTTACCCTCTTTCAGCTGCCTCTTCTGTTAAACAGTGAAAACTGTTACATTTCATCAATGTTTACTCTGTGCCAGACACTGCCTGAAATGTAATCATTTTCAGATCCTCCTCTAGCAGCACACGGAAACTGAGGCACCGAGGACTTCAGGTGAGAACACACAGAAAGCACAAGGCAGCCCAGGACTGAGCCCGGGCAGTGTCTCCAAACCCCGTCCCTGCCCCTGCTTTGGATTCTCCCACAAGCCACAGAAACAGGTGATTCAAGGCTGCCCCCTGCGTCCCCACCCACACCGCCCCGAATCCCTCTGTCCTCAAGCCTTTGACTCCAACCCCAATTCGGGACCCCTCCTGGCCCCAGGCAGCTGACCTCTGTATAAACTTCCCACAGATCCTGCTCAGAGACCACTGATGACCCAGCCACTGGAGGACAGTCCAAACTGCCGTCCAGCCTTGTTAGGGCTCTGCCTTGCCAAGCCCAGCCTGAAAGGGCCACGCCTTTCCGCCACCGTGTTCCCCTTGTTCCCGTCTTTCACATTCCATTCTTCCTTGAACACACCTGTACTTTCCTCCCTCCCTGCTGTTTTGAGCTGGTTCCTCTCCCAGGACTGCCCTTGCTAGCTGCACCCTCCCTCAACACCTGTCGAAATCAGACTCTGTCCCACCACCTGGGCCCCTAGGGAAATTCAGCGTGCGGATGTACGTGCAAGAGCCTGCATCCCACCCAGCACTCTCCAAACATAACTCATCAGGACTCTGAGAGGCCCCTGCAGCTAGGCCACGAGCACTTGAGACCGATGGCTGCCTCTTCTGCATGTTTGCCTCTTCCTCCACCCCTGTCAGAGTGAAGGGCGCACCAAGGACAATCGTTTGATGCCATGAGGTTTTTCAGGGCTGAGTTCCAGCAGTGAGGGAGGTGTGCCTGCCCTCGGGCCCTGAGGGAGGGCTGCAAGTCCCCATGACCCAAGGCAGAGTCTAAAGGCCTCTGGGAGACAAGCCAGCCCCTCTTGAAGGCCACCAAAGCTGCGGTGATTTTTCCTGGAGAGGAAAAATGGCAGTGGCGATTTACGGGGCTGGTTGAGACTTGGAAAAAAAGCTGGAAGAAAATCACTCAGCTGCCTGTCGCAGAAAATGAGAACAGAAAAATTACTAGGCAGTAAATTTAGCACCAATAAGAAGAAATATTTCTTCGTGTTGTGCAGAGTCAGCACGGTGGGGGGCAGGGGAATTGGGCGCCTCCCTGGAGAAAAGTAATAGGGACAAGTTTTCTTTCTTTCTTTTTAAGAGCAGCAGGATTTTACGACCAATGACGAGAGTGCTGTGTGTGCTTGGGCAGAGGAGAGCATATGAACCCCAGCACACTTCCCCGGGCAGGACCTTCCCTCTCCTCAGTCCTGCTGTGCCTGGCTGGGAGGGATGGGCCTGAGGAAGGCCCAGAAAGCTCCACGCAGCAGCCCAAGACCCAATTCGATGACATGACTGATTAAATATTCACTGGGCATCTGCTCTGTGCCAGGGGCTGTTGGAATAGAAATCGCCCAGGATTGGTGCCGATGGGTTCTGGTACTTCCCCTGCCACTTACTAGCTGAGTGGTCTTGGACAAGTCAACTCACCTCTCTGGGCCTCAGTTTCTTCATCTATGAAATGGAGGGTAATCCTATCCACCTTAGGGTTGTGGTGAGAATCGAAGGAGATAATGCATTGGTAGGTGTTTTTGTAAATGACAGGGCTTCTATTTCCTCTATGAAGACGACAATGTCTAATGTTTGGGTAGGGTCTTCTGAGTCCCTGCCCTCGTGGGCTTAAGGTCACATACAGGGTACAGGGGCTTCCCTGGAGCCGCAGTTTTACAGGATTAAATATGATTAACTCTTATGGGGTGAGGATCAAATAAGATAATTTGACGGGGTGAAGGACCCCACAAGGATATGTGCTCCATGATGTTAGCTATTGTCACGATTTTTACTTTAAGCACGTGCGCATAAGCTGGCACCTTCCTGCCTTGTAGCGGGATACCTGGAATAGATCAGATGAGACGCCCAGAGGAGGCTCCGGGGGCAGCCAGAGCTGATCACAAAGTATCCAGCTATGTGGTTCGTAGCGTCTAAAAATGTTATGAGTCTAGTTAGTGAGAGTGAGCCTAGATAGCTCTATACAGCCTTTCGCCATCTGCATAAAAGCCCCGAGTGGGGGAAGTTTCACGGTACTGAGCATTAACAGGAAGATTCTGAGGCCCCAGTGGGCAGCCTGGGGGAGGCGCCCATCCTTGTAGAATCTGATTTCTCCCAGTGAAATTTATTTGAATTGTATCATCTGCCTCCGAGCCAGATTGTCAGCTTCTGCGAACAGGATTATTAGGTCTTAATCAACTTGGTTCTTCCACAGCCCGAAGCTGCAAACACACTGGTGCCCATCTCTGCCTCCAGCCAGCCTCGTCCCCCAGCAAATCCTGTTGAGGAGCTGGCATCCGCTGGCCACCCTCACATCCAGTTAGTGAGGATACCTCTTCCTCGAACCACAGTTTGTACTTTTGAAATTCCTGTGCCTGATCAGGTTTGATTCCCGTGAGGGGTAAGTAGGGGGCTATTATTGGACCCAGTACATAGGTTGATAAACTGAGACCAGAGGAAGCAACTTCTCCAAAGGACACCTGCAGGACACAAAACTGGATGGGATTACTGGGTCTCCTGACTCCAGGTACTTTTCTTAGCCCTTTGCCTTAGGTGACCTGACCTGTGGGCACGGCACCCAGAGTTCTCACCCACCTCTGAGCTCACAGCCCCTTGCCGTCTGCCTGCCTTTGACACTTGGTCACAGCAGCCTGTGAACGTTTCACGTCCTGGAGTTCCCCCCACCAACGGGCTCTGCAAAGCACAGATGGTGCATTTTGGTTTCACTTACTCGTTTCCCCTCCTCACCTCGCACATCATAGGCCCTTTGAGAAGAGGAAGGGACATAGACCTTCGAGCCACAAAGACTCAAAGGTTCAAATTTGGAATCTGCCTCTTACTGGGTTAGTGTTCTGGAACAGCTTCAGTCCCGCACTGCAAAAGGAGTTTAATGAGACAGACTGCACGGGGTGGCGGTGCACAGCAGATGCCATGAAGTGTGAGGGGAGGTGCCCTGCACAGTGGCCGTGCTGAGCCCACGGGTCTCGAGTGGCCTTTGCCACAGTAGAGGCTCTGCAGGTACAAGCGGCAGCAGGAGTAGACAGGTCCTCCCACCTCTTCTTGCCAGGGTTGGGGACAGAACCTGGGCAGGTTCCCCAGCTCAGGAAGGGCATGCCCACCCTTCAGGGGTGTGTGAGGATAAAATCAGATAACGAACAGGTATAAAGTGCCCGGCATGCAGCAGGAGCTCCGTAGTGTGTGGACAGTCTGAGAACTCCTCGCTCCACAAAGTGATAATGATGTGACTTACATTTGCACTCAGCATACAGTTTAGAGAACTCCCCGCCCTTTCGTCATCTGGTTTAATCCTCAGAACAACCTTCTATGCTAAGGGCAGAAATAGTATCAATTTTGCAGATAAGGAAATTGAGGCTCCAATAGATCACACAGCTAGAAACGTCCTGAGTGCATCCGACGCAAAGTCCCTGCTCTCTCCACCTTATCCCAGTGCCTCTGGGATTCCCCTCATCCAGAGAGCTTCCCACCTTTTGCAGGAGTTTCTTCTTTAGCAGGTAACTTTGGCCTCTGTTTGAATACCTC